TGTGCGTTACAGGGAAGACATCCTCCTCCCTCATGTGGTACCCTTCCTGCAGGCTCATCCTGACATGACCCTCCAGCATGACAATGCCACCAGCCATACTGCTCGATCTGTGCGTGATTTCCTGCAAGACAGGAATGTCAGTGTTCTGCCATGGCCAGCAAAGTGCCCGGATCTCAATCCCATTGAGCACGTCTGGGACCTCTTGGATCGGAGGGTGATGGCTAGGGCCATTCCCCCCAGAAATGTCAGGGAACTTGCAGGTGCCTTGGTAGAAGAGTGGGGTAACATCTCACAGCAAGAACTAGCAAATCTGGAGTAGTCCATGAGGAGGAGATGCACTGCAGTACTTAATGCCGCTGGTGGCCACACCAGATACTGACAGTTACTTTTGATTTTGACCTCCTCTTTGTTCAGGGACACATTATTCCATTTATGTTAGTCACATGTCTGTATAATATAAAATAAACACAGTTGACAGTGAGAGGACGTTTCTTTTAATGCTGAGTTAACAAGCAAGTGCCACTGCTGAGATTACTTACATTTTGAAGATTGTGCTCCAGGATATAATATAACCAGTTGATATTACGGTTTCAATAAATCAATCTTAAATGGCACTTTTTTTAGTGACTTAATACACACTGAGTATACAAAACATTAAAGGACACCTTCCTAATGTTGAGTTGCACCCTTCCTTTTTTCCTCAGAACAGCCTCAATTCGTCGGGGCATGGACTGCACAAGGTGTCGAAAGCGTTCCACAGAGATGTTGGCCCCTGTTGACTCCAATGCTTCCCACAGTTGTGTCAAGTTGGCTGGATGTCTGTCACGCCCTGACTTATGGGACTCTAGTATGTTGAGTCAGGGTGTGGAGTTCTATGTTGTTATTTCTATGTTTACGTTCTAGGTGTTGTATTTCTATGTTTGGCCGGGTGTGATTCCCAATCAGAGACAGCTGTCGCTCGTTGTCTCTGATTGGGGATCATACTTAGGCAGCCTATTGGCAATCATTAGTTGTGGGATCTTGTTCCGTGTAGAGGCTTGTATTGTGTTTAGCCTGAGGACTTCACGTTACGTTGTTTTGTTGTTTTGTTCGTGTGTTTATCATTGTAATAAACATGTATGCATTTCACGCTGCACCTTGGTCTGACCCGTCCTTCAACGCCCATGACAGAAGATCCCACCAAAAATGGACCAAGCAGCGTGCCCAGGAGCAGACATCCTGGACATGGGAGGAGATCCTGGACGGAAAGGGATCCTGGACATGGGAGGAGATTCAGGCTGGGATGGATCGCCGTCCTTGGGAGGAGACAGTGGAGGCCCGGTTTAGAGAGGAGCAACGGCAACGCAGAAGGCGCCGGCCGAGGAGGAAGTCCGAGAGACAGCCTCAATAATTTTTTTGGGTGGGGCTAAAAGGGTGGTCGGGGATCGATGGAGAAGAGACCCGACCACTGCACTCGTGGAGGAGTCCTCACGGGAGGAGGACTGGGCGCGGAGAGTGAAAGACTGGTACAGTCAGAGATCTCTAACGTCAGTTCTCAGTTCGGTACACCTCGTGCCTGCATCTCGCACCAAGCTAGTGGTGGGTGTGCCCAGTCCGGCCCGGCCCGTTCCTGCTCCTCGCACCAAGCCAGTGGTAAGTGTTCCCAGTCCGGTACGGCCCGTGCCTGCTCCCTGCACCAAGCCAGTGGTGCATGTCGCCAGTCCGACCCGGCCCGTTCCTGCTCCTCGCACCAGACCAGTTGTGCGTGTTCCAAGTCCGGTTCCGCCCCATTCCTGTTCTTCGCACCAAGCCAGTGGTGCGTGTTCCCAGTCCGGAACGGCCCATGCCTGCTCCCCGCACCAAGCCAGTGGTGCGTGTCGCCAGTCTGGTCCGGCCCGTTCCTGTTCCTCGCACTAAGCCAGTGGTGCGTGTCGCCAGTCTGGCCCGGCCCGTTCCTGCTCCTCGCACCAAGCCAGTGGTGTGTGTTCCCAGTCCGGTACGGCCCGTGCCTGCTCCCCGCACCAAGCCAGTGGTGCGTGTCGCCAGTCTGGCCCGGCCCGTTCCTGCTCCTCGCACCAGACCTGTGGTGCGTGTTCCCAGTCCGGCCCGTTCCTGTTCCTCGCACCAAGCCAGTGGTGCGTGTCGCCAGTCCGGCCCGGCCCGTTCCTGCTCCTCGCACCAGACCAGTGGTGCGTGTTCCCAGTCCTGCCCGGCCCGTTCCTGCTCCTCGCACCAAGTCAGTGGTGCGTGTTCCTAGTCCGGTCCGGCCCGTGCCTGCTCCTCGCACCAGACCAGTGGTGCGTGTATCCAGTCCGGCACGGTCCGTGCCCGTTCCATGTACAGAGGGTGTGTGATTTGGGTTACAGTAGCAGAAAATTTAGACAATCCAACTGCCTTTCACACAGAAAATCTGATTGTGTATTGTGGTTGTTTTCTTTGGTAACGTAGTGAATCTGCTGAATATGCGCCATACAACTTACCGGAAATCCAAATTACTGTACATTTAGTCATTTACAGCGCGACTCACAAATCGTTCACCCATAGCCTTGGGACCATTTAAATTTGGGGGGGGTGAAATACTTTATCCCTTATTCTTACAGCCCTTAACCCTTAACCAATGCAGTTCAAGAAAGAGTTAAGAAAAAATTTAGCAAATAAACAAAAGTTAAAAATAATAAAAAGTAACACAATAAAATAACAATAACGAGGCTATATACTACTGCTACGTTCATGGATAGCCAGGCAAGAGGCCCAGGTTGAAAACTCACATCAGACTAAGTATTGTTAGAGTAAATTAAGGCATTATCATAGAAGTGACACAGAAATTCTAATACAGAGTTATACCCTACTTCTTTGTTTTAATACTGTGAAAATAAAATGTCTTTCCTTTGTTGAGTGTCACAGGTTGAAGAAGAGAAACTAACCTGTCACAATCAAGGAATTCTCAAAGACCTACTGGACAAACTCACTATAAATACATATATTATTCCTTAGGTTTGGACTAGAAGAAAATTAAGATGAAAACATGTCCCTTTGCCATTGTTTCCACTCAAACAAACTGTCAGTATGAAGATCATGTACTCTGTCATGTGTGTGAGTATGTGCTCATACTGGATTAAGGGTGAGACTACAGGATTAGAACGTTCCACTCACAGTACAGAGCCTGTAAATAGATCTATTAGACAGTCAGCACACTTCGCTTGTATTGAGGATATATCCAGTGGCGATTTTAGCATGTCCATTTTTTAATGCATGCCACTACACAACACAACACTAAACAATACATGAATTGCACTCTAACAGTGCCCACAAACTGTTAGGGCCTACTGTACATAAAGCTGTCCAAACAGCAGAGTCCCAACAGCAGTCCCAACACCTTCCCACTGATACACTTGGCTATCAGCGGAGCCTTGTCTGGCAGCGAAACAGTTCATTTAGCCTAATTTACATAGCTGATATGGCTGACTTGCTTAAACAAATGTGGTTTCTACTGACAATTGAGATGTACAAACTATGGCATAAGGGGACGATGAGTGGATAAGAGGCAATCCGTCATTTCGATTAAGACATTAATGATCGAGTTAGGACGGATGTAGTCAATATAACTATTTGCTCAGCACTTTTGAAATGTACAGTGACAGAATTCAGAACATGGGCCATTCTTACAGTATTCTCCCTGCACACCAAGTCAGAACTGTAGGATAAATAAAGGGGGCATATAAGCAGACAATGAAAGCTCTTACAATATTCGATGATTACATTTCTCTAAAACAGGCTATAGGCTACATGTGCACTTTCAAGTCAGAACAGTAGGCAAAATTAAGAGGGGTAAAGGGACTAAATTATTAGGGTGAAGCACATGGGCCACTAACAGCTTACTACACAACATACACTTAGTATTACTTTCTTAGCTACAGTATACATATCTCCCTGGCATATTACATCATTTATGCAGCAACATACAATACATTTTTGGACTCAGCTTGTTGTGCTGTGCACACTTGAACAGGAAGGTGGCGCAGCGGTCCTTTGTGGGCAAATTCTGTCATCAAAGTCTGGCATTCTCTGGATTTGTGGTGCTTTCACGACAACTGGGAACTTGGAAAAAAACAATGTTGAATCATGATGATGTCAGTGATCTTCAGGTCGGAGCTTCAGGTCGGAGCCAGAGTTCCCGACTTACAATTCCGAGTTGGATGACCGTTGAAAACGTATTTTCCCAGTCAGAGTGACAGAACACTGAGCCAATCACGGCGCAACTAGAGAACATTACCAACCCCTATGCTCCATATTTTCCACTGGCTGCCCCATCACCATAGAAAGCATTGAGCTAGGTTTAAACACCTGCATTTTGGAGCTGCCTTACTCAAGAAAGCAAAAAAGACACCAAGTTTGTATGCGGCTTTATTAACTCAATGATTATTTTAGTTTTTTTACAAACTGATATGTGACACGTATTAATGCCAAAATAACATGCAAAACAGACAACCCAAAACCTAAAAAGGTGGGGCTAAAAACAGGTGGGGTTCTGCCCTGAATGACGCGTTGCCACTGGATATATCTGCTATTGATAATTGGGAATAGGGATTGCTTTCCCTATTAAGATCTGCCCTTAGGGCTTTTCATCTAGGTGTAAGTTAAGGCAGGTAGACTAGCGGTTAAGAGCGTTGGGCCAATAACCGAAAGGTTGCTATTTCGAAATCCGAGCCGGCAAGGTGGAAAAATCTGCCGTTAACCCCCAACAACTGAATGCTGATGGCGTAGACATTGATTAAGACAGCCCCCCGCACATCTCTGATTCAGAAGGGTTGGGTTAAATGCGGAAGACACATTTTGGTTGAATGCATTCAGTTGTGCAACTGACTAGGTAAAACAATTAGTTCGATCTAAGATTGTGTGTGTGTTTACACAATACTTTAATTTGACCAATTATGTAGTATACATTGTTATTCTGTTTAATTTTATGAATTTTGTTTTATCCCCAAATGATTAAGCAGAAAGGTCCACGTTTACCGGTCGACATGGGCTGTGAATGTCAAATTTTGTCCTTGACTTCTAATCAGAGACTGATAAATACCTCGGTATTATGTGGACCCAACAGCCAGTCAATGACATTAACTGATATGGCCAATTGAATTGATCAATTACGTGCCCAAGAAATGTAATCCTCCACTATTAAGATGTGTGTCTGTTCCTATGTGCTGTCGTATGCTAATGTCCATCCTCCCCTTTCTCACAGCCAAGGCTGCCTTCCTTAACGCCCTCCGTGGTGTGGGCCCTGAGGATGAAGGGGCCGCCCTCCCCCTCTCCCCCACCCCTCCAGAGGATCTGGCCATCTACCCCACCCCAAACACCCAGACTTCTGCCTGTGTGACCTGCCACCCGTCCCAGCAGCCTTGCCCTTTGACCCGTAAGCTTACATGGGGCGAGTCAAGTTCCTGCGGTACAACGTGGTGGTCATGGCGTTCACTCAGAGTCTCCAGCACACAGCGTGGTGGTGATCCTGGAGGCCCTCTCGGTGCAGAGGGACATAGTGTACTTAGCCTTGCTGGCCTTCGAGATGGACACGGAGAAAAGCCTGGAAGAGAGGAGGGAGGCCAGCCTGGAGGCGCGGAAAGCCAAGGGGGTGGCCCTGCCTACGGTTTTCCGTAGGGGGTGGGCGGTCGCCTCGCTCTTTGGTGGGATGTCAGCCATTCCTGTGCCCCTGGTGGCCTTGTATGGTGGACATCAGCGTGGGTGTGAGGATTCTCACCAAGACCAAGGCCTTGCTCTGTTTAGAGGACGAGTCCGTGGAACTGTTGGCAGGGCAACATGGCATGGACCCTATTTCATGAACATGATTAACGGTGTTTGCGTTTTGTTTTCTAGATGTGGAGAAACCCTCTGTGGCCCATCTCTGGTAGTAACACAGTGAGAGAGGGTGATACCCTGAATCTGACCTGCAGTGTTGACAGCTACCCACCATAATGATCTAACATCACCTGGAGTAAGAATGTGTAGAATTGCAGGAAATTGGCTATAAACTGCTCATTATTCTCTCCGCCCTATGGCAAAATTAGTAAAATAGCATGAAGTTAGTTATAAAATTGCAAAATCTTCTCTGAACCCCATGACAAAATGTGTAAGTTTGCAGCAAACTTGCTTTAAAACTGCAACATTTCTCTAAGTCCCAAAGCAAATTGTGTAGAATTGCAGGAAATTAACTAAAAAATAATAATAATACTTCTCTGTGGTTTAGGGGGGCCCTAAAATGTTGTGCTCGCAAGGTGGGGGAAACAACATTTAGCTTAGAGCCCCCAAAAGGCTAGGGCCGGCTCTGGCTACAAGTGTGAGTATGGATGTGGGTAGGCAGACCCGCGAGCCACTGCTGCCCCCCATGATGAGTTCAGATTTTTTGTGGCCCCCACCCCCATCAAAGTTGCCCATCCCTGATTTATACCATCGGTAGCCTATAATTACTGTTGAATGAAATTTGTGGAGATGGTAGATTGGAAATAGCTAAAAAAAGACACCATTCATACATGCTTTGAACAGATTTCAGAGAACAAACCAATGAAAATACACAAAACCATTAAAAGTGAGGTAGTGCTTCAATATAAAACAATGTTGAAATAATGCACACTTATAAATAGAAAAATATTCTCATAGATGGGTTAGTTGACAATGTCACGAAAACGATACACACTCTTCAATGGGGCAGAAGGCCGTGTGTTATCGTGAATCTGGGTGGCCAGATAGCTACAGTAGCAACAATGACACAAAGCTGCCATGTGGGGAATCGTAGGTGGCTCGTTTCAGCTAGTTTTATTTGTTCTTGATACCATGTCTTATTATGACTGATGTCATGTCTATGCTAATATGTCAAAAAATCGTTAGCTAGCTAACCAACAACTTTAATAATGTATTTGAGAGACAACAAATGCTCATTGTGCAAATGTATTTTTATTTTCAATAAACAGTGGAGACAAAATATAGTTTACATGTTGTCAACAATCAACAATCTAAGTCTGTTTTGCCCCATAGCTGTGCACGCATCTGTTTTGTTGCTAGACAACCAACCCGTCTATAGCACACAACTTTTAAAAGCATAATGTTTTTGTTTTCCTGATTCATTTCATTTGAGCTCTCTGGCTAGCCCAAAATGAGAATTATTTATAACATTTTGACACAATTTTCTTCAGTAAATCAGTATTCTATGTACAGAAATATATTGGTTACAACCACACATACTACCTAATATCCCCACCCCCTTGTCAAATCGAAATGCAAAAATGAAAGGAAAGAGGAGAAAAACAAGAAATGGTTTGACCTCTCTACTTTTCCAAACCACATCTTTGTCAGTCCTTCCTCATGGTGACAAAACAGAATCGTTACAAAACTAAAATTGTACAACCACCAGGCACATACAGTACCATCTGACACAGGGCTGTAAAATAAAGCATTTACCAAAACTTTTAACTACAGTAGTTTCAGTTATTAAACAAAGTCTCTGTATTAACATAAAACATTCCAACTGGATTCAGCACATGAGGAAACAACACCAAAACGATTAACTACAGTAGTTTCAGTTGAACAAAAGTCCCAGTATCATCATAAAACGTTCAATCTGGATTCAGAAAATTATATAAGAACCCATGGCTGTATAATCCTGTATGCTATCCCCAACTTTTCCTCGCGAAAATTGCTGTGTCACTCACCACCCATAATAGCCTTGACGTTGGAGTAAAGCGCTGTATCCTCATCTGTCTCTGCTGCTGGCTTACTGTTCTCTTTCTCTTTCTCCTCCTCCATCACTCCACTCCCCTCTCCTCCATCTTCATCCCCTTCTTTCTTCTTCTCTCGTTTGATTTTGGCGTACTCTGACTCTGTGGGGGTGGTCTTCTTCTCTGACTCTTCAGGAGTCTTCTTCTTCAGTAGGGAGTAGTTGATACTGACGTAGTCCACTTCATTTGGTTCTTCCCCTGTGGCATATTTTCCCACGGCTCCACTGGTCTGGGGCCCTCCATTTTCAGCTCCCTCCCTCAGCACCCCCTGCAGAGGGGTCTGTTCGCCCCCCACAGCCTGTCCTGCATCCATCTATGGAGTACATTGCAGAAAACACTGTGTTAGGAGTCTTTTGTTAGCTTGGTGGTCCCAGATCTGTTCATGCTGTCTTATCAACTCCTATTGGCATGTCAATGCTAACTGAATGTTGGTAAAGCTGAATAAAGAAAGAAACTGGTACTGCACCTGTTGGTCTTCACATGCCACTATCTCCAGGTTCATGAAAGGACTTTTGGAGTCTGAATCCTTTGGGATCCTCTCTTTTTGTCTAAGGAAAATATAATGAATGACATTTCTCAGTAACTATACTTTGGAGGGGTTAGTAAGCACATACATTACAATATGGTGCAAGGTATTGGCACTTTTGACAATATATATAATTCTCTTCATAGTATTTATGAATTTCTAAAGACAATCTGCAATTGATTTTAAAAACAACACTCAGTTAACACTAAATGTACTTCAGTAATAGAATGCATGTACCTTTTACATTTCCCTGTCAAACACAGGAAGATACAACAGATGGTGGCTGAGAGGGCTGCACCAATCACAAACGCAATAATCAGTTTTCGGTCCGACAGCATAGCTATAATGCCGTCCCGTTCCTTCTCTAAAAAGACAACAACAACTCTGTATTAGAATTGGGTCACATTACTTCATATCCTCTGGAAGAAAAATATATATTATTTTCCGACTAATTCTACAGAACATTCTCAATATTGCATACATTGGGTGGGATTGGGAAGCTGTGGCTCTCTAACCAAGTAACTTGACTTATATATTTACCTCTTTGATTTTCTTGGCTCTTATGTTGGGTGACCTGCAACTTCTCTCTCACTACACCCACCACATTTCTGCTGACACACTCCACAGTGGTGTTGTTGTGGTTTCTAACAGGCAGGCTGAGGGTGCTGTTCACTGAGGAACCCAACACTGACGTAGTGTTCTCTGTGTTGAGCACCAACAGCGGCCACTCTATGAGGGGTAAGGGAACCCCCTGACTGACACACACACAGGTCATGACCTCTGCCTGATCCACACACCCAGAGCCAGGAAGAATCACAGGATGGTCTGGAAAAAGACAGTGATGAGAGAGGTATCAGTGCTAGATTGATGTTAAAAACATGCCAGAGTAATTCCAGATCTTAAAATATAAAATGAGTTTGTATATTTCAATCAAGTATGTACTTACACATCACAGTGACAACAGTGGAAGCTGTCATAGTCCTGTTGAGGTGTTGCGCTGTACACACATACTCCCCAGCATGCTCTCTTGTCACATTGGAGATGGTGAGAGTGGCATTTCCAGTGTAATTCTGAAGTGGGGCACTTGTCCCGTTCTTACTCCAAGTGATGTCAGATGGTGGGTAACTGTCAACACTGCAGGTCAGACCCAGGGTACCATCCTCCTTCACTGTTTTATTTCCAGTTATTTGGGGGTCTTTCACATCTTTGAGTGCATAGAGTTTCTAATTTTACACATGTATTGTTACACATACACTAAATTCAAACTATATTGGTTGAGGGACTAATTACAATGGATCATGATTAAAAAGCAAGGGAAAAGGTCAAAGCCATGACATAACTGTGTATAGAATGCATATTGTATCATTTGCTTATTATCAAGGTTATTCCTAGGTTTCAAAGATTCTATGTAATAAGGTGTTTAATGTAAAATGTAGGTGACATGGTACTCACATGTCACATTCAAAGTTACTGTCTCTTCAATTTGATGTTTTTTCTGAAAGGTTACTTGACACGTAACCTTCATGTTGTGGTGCTCAGCTGAGGGGGTAAAGGTCAAAGTTGAGAAGTGGGATGTTGTGATGCTAGTCAGGTCCTCTCTCTTCTGTATGGTGGTATTATCTCTGAGCTCGGTGATGTTGTCTCCTGTCCCTCTCCATGTCCATGTGATGTTAGGAGGAGTTCCAGAGCAGATCCCCGGGGCGGTGCAGGTCAGAGTGGCTGGTTCTCCCTCTGTCAGAGGAGGAGTCAACACTGAGGGCTTCTGGGTCAGAGCTGGAGACACGAAATACAAACACAGAAGTGAGTTTTCACGTGGTCCTCTGTAGCTCAGCTGGTAGAGCACGGCGCTTGTAACGCCAAGGTAGTGGGTTCGATCCCCGGGACCACCCCATACACAAAAAAAATGTATGCACGCATGACTGTAAGTCGCTTTGGATAAAAGCGTCTGATAAATGGCATATTATTATTATTATTATTACATCTGTGTACTAAACAGCAGTGACACATAATCAGCCAAAGGAGAGCAGCATTGATGTGTTAAGTCTGAATAGGAGTATTCCCAGTAATGACATCTTGTCCTGTTATGAGAGGACTTTATAATAAGGGAAACTTGAGAGGGAACTTGGCAAGTGTGTACTGTATACAATGAAGTACAGTAATAGTCTGTCACTGTAACTGGTAATAATAGTCATGAAATACCTTTCACTGTGATTTTCACTTTCTTGGAGTATGTATATGCACTTAGCAGTCTGAATTGATTCTCTCCAGCATCATTCTCTCTGATGTCATTGATGATCACACTACAGTTCTTCTTTGTCAGATCAGTCTCCAGTAGAGACACTCTCTGTTTATAACCCTCCTGAGCTTTAGAGGGAGTTTCAGAGTGGATAATTATGTCTTCATCCTGATCACATTTGCCATTTTCAGGGCATTTGAACCATATTGCTGCAGTAAGATTGAAGCTCTCTGCATGACTGAAGGTACATGAAATAACAGCACATAGTCCCTTCTCTGCTGTTATCTCTGCTGGACTGAAGGTGAAGGTCCAGGGTGATAAATACAGAAAGCACTTGGATACTACTTTACTTGTTCACATTTCTTTTTAGGATATAGTAAATATTGAGATATTTGCCATCTACTAATGATTATTATAGTAACAATAGAAGTGATAAAAGGCACCTTACGTTTGCATGTGGCTCTCTCTGTCAGGGAGAGAAGTAGAGCTGCCCAGATGAGGACCCACATCCTGCCTCGATGAATCAACCACAGCACTGGGGTCTCTCTCCTCTTTCTCCTCTTTCTGTATGGTCACTATCTCTGTCTGTGTCTACTGGTCTGGAGCACAAGACAAGTGTGAACTAAAATATGAAATGGTGTTGTGATAATAACAACATGTAGCAATACACATCTGATAATAATGTTTCATTACAACTTTATGAGTGCTACAGTGTCATTCATAACAACCTTCTTAGCACTTTTATTCAACTATTTTGCTGTAATGCCTAGAGAGTATGTCAAAGAAACATTTATGGTCACAGTTCATATGAATGCCTTCTTCATAATGCATTACAAGCACATGTATAACTCCTTATGAGTGACTCCTTATAATACACTATAATCCCCAACATAGGCGCTAATAACTGCTCATTAATATTTTTTAACTGCTTTCATAATTTTTTATGACAACCTTCTTATCACTTTTATTAAACTAAGATGTATTTTGCAATAATTCCTAGAGAGTATGTCAAAGAAAAAGTTATGTTAACAGTTTACATGAATGCCGTCTTCATAACACATTACAAGCACATGAATAAATTACTCCTTATGAGTGACTTCATATAATGTATGACATAGGTGTTAATATCTGCTCATAAATATCTTTAACTACCGTACATTCATAAATAATTATGCCTAGGCTATATAAAGCCTTATGAAGCAATGGGTTGCCTTGCCCTAAATGATTAATAGAACATTACCATTACATTACGTAGTCATAATTACGTTTTAACGGTCATTCAATGTAACGAGACAAAAATATATAATGGTTAAATAGTTTGTCTTTCGATCCATGCACAAAAGTAGACTTAATCAGCACATTACCTCTCTGTGTGCTCTCTCCTCCTGTTGATCAGGAGCCCTGTGTGAGACTCTGATGGGTGTGAACTGTCACTTCATGTCCCAGTCTCTTACTCCTCTCTCTTTCCTGGTGCTACAATCCAGGAAGTCCCTCTGTACTGTTTACCGTCCAGCCATACTGTACTGTATATAGACCATAATCAACCAACCCAGCAAACCACCTTGGTTAACATTTACATTTTAGTCATTTAGGAGATGCTCTTATCCAGAGCGACTTCCAGTAGAGTCAATAAATGTTTTCTGTATTGGTCCCCCATGGGAATCAAACCCACAACCCTGGCATTGCAAGCACCATGCTCTACCAACTGAGACACACACTGCAATCCCAACATACACTGCATTCCCAACATACACTGCATTCCCAACACACACTGCAGTCCCAACACACACTCCAATCCCAACACACACTGCAATCCCCATGCCTTTTATATTTAGATGCAGTTTTATTATAAGAAAGATTTCTATAAGATGTCTATAAGAAAATGTGTACACATTTCAAGATTGGCTGTTTGTAACATGTACATGTGTATAATATGGAGAATGCCAAACCCAAATTTGTGATTCTTCACTCCAGAGAACGCGTTTTTCCACTGCTCCAGAGTCCAATGGTGGCAAGCTTTACACCACTCCAGCCTATGCTTAGTATTGCGTATGGTGATTTTAGGCTTGTGTGCAGCTGCTCGGCCATTGAAACACATTTCATGAAGCTCCCGACGAACAGTTCTTGTGTTGACGTTGCTTCCAGAGGCAGTTTGGAACACGATAGTTAGTGTTGCAACCAAGGACAGACGATTTGTTTCCGCCCACAATCTTTCACTTATACAGACATATCAGACCCACTTTTGAAGAGTGATGACAAGAAGTAATGATAATAATGCAACTGATCACAGCCGGAAGTGGAAGAAATTGGTTTCAACAATGCCTGATAAAGTATCAGTAATGTGTAAACTGTCAGATTAATTTCAGTGTCAATTTGTGTAGTTGTAATGGATGTGCATGTAGTCAAAGATCAACATAAATGACCATTACTGCAATTTCTCTAAAAATAATATTACAGTAAAGGGCATTATGCCTTCTTAGTCTTCAACTCAGTTTCCCATTACATTTGTATTGTATTTTAACCAGACCTGTTAGTGCGTCTTCACAGAGTTTGACTAAAGCTTACAACACTGTGGGCCCTAGTTTAGATCCTCTTCCCACTTTGAGACTGTGTTAAAGTGCTAAGGCCTTGCTGTATTTGTTAGGTCGGGTTTTACTTCTCCTGAATACTTACATTTAAAGTATTTATTTATCGGTACTTTTATAAGGTATTCTGGATATGGCTTCATTTCTGGTTGCATGAGCCTCAACCTGTTCGCTACTCTTGCAAATGCCTTCCAAAGTATCTCTTCAGCATCCCCCAAACTAGAGATACTCACACAGTTGGTACCTAAAAGCCTTGTAGAGTTATTCTAGCCATTGTAAGACAAAGCTCCATCGAACACCTTTGGCATGAATTGGACCGCCGACTGCGAGCCAGGCCTAATCGCCCAACATCAGTGCCCGACCTCACTAATGCTCTTGTGGCTGAATGAAAGCAAGTCCCTGCAGCAATGTTCCAACATCTAGTGGAAAGCCTTCCCAGAAGTGGAGGCTGTTGTGGAGGCTGTTATAGCAGCAAAGGGGGGACCAACTCCATATTAATGCCCATGATTATGGAATGAGATGTTTGACGAGCAGGTGTCCACTTACTTTTGGTAATGCAGTGTATGTCAGTTACCACATTTCCATCCACAATTTTTATGCTAGTAAAGTGATGGAAACAGGAAGTTTTGATACAATTTGTTGGGGAAATGCCTTTATTGCAAATATTTAAATAACCACCATCATATCGAAGTATAAACTTGGAGTCAAGTAATGATATGGTGTGTGGTCCTCCACTATGACTCGGGAAACCATGCAGTTTATTAGGCTTCAAATTAAATAAATTATGAACTTCACAGGGTGGTGAAAGCGCATGGTTATTTTGATGCTACTTTCCAATAAATATCGAGGGTCTGATTCTGGTGACATGATCGATGCTTGGCTGCAGTTTGACAAATAAAAATATTCTCACTCTTATCCATAATAATCTCATCATGTAGACTAGCCTACCAGCACAGCGTACCCGCACTGTATCTGGGTGCTGTTAGCTAAAGTGCATCTGCTAAGATCAGAGTAGGCACATTTGCTATTTAATGCAACAGTTTTTGTGACAAAACTATCGCTAGAGTTATTCGGTACATGACAACTTAAGCATAAATGTACATTTTGTGTGCATTACGTCATCACGCAGTGATTATATCTGCAACAAGTCAGTTTGGTGGAAACGTGCACATTTTATTCCACATGAATATCTGTCGCCAATTGGATGGAAACCTAGCTAGTGGGGTAAAGAGTAGAACTAAAGTAGAATAGTGTTGGATAAATTAAACAAAGTGTTTTCGTACCAATTAGTTTGTATCACTTCTCATAGATATCCCTGGGTCAGAGAAGAGGGATGTTGCAGTCTTTCCCTGGATAATCATTGGCCTGTCCCTCAGCCTTAATGTGGCCCTCCTTGTCTATCTGACCAGTCCTTCTAAATGGTAAGACAACATGACAACCCCACAGTTGAACACATGGGGACATTTGGCATAAGGTCAGGAGGCATAAAATTCTTATCATTGTTATATTTAGCTTTTTTTTTAATCAATAAGTTAATCAAGGTAGGACTGTCTGAGAGAGGTACATTATAATCAAGGAAAACCTTTTAGCTCCATTTGGCTAACTGAAGTTGGAACCAGAGACCATAGCCTAGCGGTTAGAGAGGCGAGCCAGCAACCGGAGGGTTGCAAGTTCAAATTCCAGGTCCGGTGGGAAGTGAACTGGCAACTGGAGGGTTGCTGGTATCAAATCATTGATGCCATTGCGTGCCCTTGAGCAACCCACACACCCAGTGTCAGGTTAGTGTTTTCCGTCATTAATTTAGTTCTGGAGGCAGCTCTGCAGTGGTCACTAGCTGACATAGCCAAAAGTCATAACATTTGATTTTACACCGACTTAACCCTAACCTTAACCACACAGCTAACCATAATGCCTAACCCTAACCTTAAATTAAGACAAAAAATCTTTGCAGCTGACCCATCTAGCGAAACTCGCTCCGTTCTGCCTCCAGGGCTACATTCATGACAATAAACGTCAACCTGCGGGACAGTGCTGCAGCCCCCCCACACCTCTCCAAAATGTTTATATATGTGTATATATGTGTTTCTTTCAGAGATGTTGGGTTAAAAGAGGAAGTCAAATTTCGGTTGGACCTTGTGTGCAATAAAGTGATCTTAATCTTACAAAACAGGTTGCAACTTCCTGTACAGTAGACGCTTCCTTTATGTTACTATTTTCAGAACTGCACAACTTGGCTCTAAAATCATCTCAGATAACAATGTTTTTGTGACTAAATAGCAAAAAGGGTGAAAAGAAGAGAGCTAAAGAAGAAGATAGTACCTACATCTCATTGGTCAAGGAAGACGTGTCTCCTGAATATGACATCATCTCCCCGAATCACCAATGATCCTCTGCTTGTGATAAACTTCTATTTTATTTTAGAGTTTGGTTCAGAGGCTTGATTTTGCTCTTTTATTTCAATGTAAATTATTTTCTATTGCTATACATTTTTTTCTTAGGGTGAGCGCTGAATGCATTTTTATGTGAATGAATTCAACCTCTTTTTCTGAATAATGTCTCAGGCTTTTATGCACACAAAAAATATCTCAATTATAACCGAATGATGTTATATTTTATGTAAAAGCACATAAACTTTTGTTATCTTCCTCATGTTCAACTATGTTAATCAAATTGTTATGTAGATAATCAAGGTACCACAGTTGCAAATATTGTCAAGTGAAATGGTTGAAAAAAAAAAGCTTTGTGGGATGTAGCTACTGCAAACAATGAGGGGTGGTTTGGGAGGAATAACTATTACATACTGTATCAATAAAGTAATCCTACTACATGGGGAAAAAAGTATTTAGTCAGCCACCAATTGTGCAAGTTCTCCCACTTAAAAAGATGAGAGAGGCCTGTAATTTTCATCATAGGTACACATCAACTATGACAGACAAAATGAGAAAATAAAATCCAGAAAATCACATTGTAGGATTTTTTATGAATTTATTTGCAAATTATGGTGGA